CAAGGTAGAACGAATGATGCCACGGCACGTAAGACACACCGGTACAGATTGATTATCTAAGAAAACAAATTACTCAAAATAATTCAACCTTAAGGCAGTCCCTCCTCCTCTCCGGTCCCCTTACCTCCAAACCATTGCCTGCGCTAAATTAACCGGAAGTGTCTTCTGCGAGGTACGAGTGATCACAGGGCTCGATTCTCTAGTGTTTTGAGGTCTGAAAGGTGCAATTACGATGATGATGCTGTTGGTGTATCACGCCTGATTGGCTTGTGCATTGGGGCGAAGAATTACAGTAAAAACAATAGCAGTGATACCGTAGATACACAATTGGCTGTAGCACCGATGCACAAGCCGCTCTCCGCATCCGCAATAATTACTAGTAGTGATGTGGATCCCGGCACCGTTAGACACAGCGCCTGTCCATCATTACTGCGAAACATGCAAACATACATCCATTGTGGTAGCTTGTAACAGATCATATTAACTATGTATTACAGTGACATCAACGGCAAATATATTGTATTGTTAACTGAATCTTGTCAGATAAATGAAGGTCGTAACGTAAATCTTGTGATTTTTTTCTTCTTTAGAATTATTTGAGTAGTATTTCTTGTTTATTTAACTAGCCATGTCGTGCAGGGAGGTACTTTAAACACACACACCTAGTATATGTTTGATGCGAACAGATACCATTGTGCGCTACTTATGTTGAATTAGAAATCAATACTTTTCAATCTGGTTTTTGTTTCCTCCTACCAAACTGTTGTACACTATAGCGAAGCCCACACATGCTTAGTCACACACATTTGCTACCAACACCTGTGTCGACTGTGTCGGCGAGTAACACAACAGAGGTTACTTTGATCAGTAGACTGTGTTAGAGGGGTATGTGTGTACACGTGGAAATACAGCCTCTCGGGAAGTCAAGCATAGTTCACCAGTAGATTAACAAAATATCAATAAATCATGAAAACTTTATGATTTTATTTCATTAAACATTAATATCAGAGTCCCTTGGTCCATTTTATATCCAGAATATTTAATGATCATAGAAATAAGTAGTATCCCTATTCAAATTAAGTGTGCATGCTATATACGGTGAAGTTGCTCCTTATTGGCGTAGAACATGATTACAATGATAGCACAAAACAAAATGACTTTTTAATTTGATTAGAAAATTATCGTTTATTCTAAAATGTTTTTCTTTCATTTGAATGTTTCAGAAGCAAAAGGCAGAAAGAAAAGGAAGCCCTACACCCGATACCAGTCTATGGTGCTGGAAAATGAGTTTTTGAACAGTTCATATATAACACGACAAAAACGATGGGAAATATCGTGTAAATTACAACTAACAGAGAGACAAGTGAAAGTTTGGTTTCAAAATAGACGAATGAAGAGGAAAAAATTGAACGAACGCGCCAAAGCGAGGCTGAGAGACGACCAAGAACCTAAAGACCATCACCATGCAGCACAAGGTCAAGGTCATCATTCTGTACAAGCGTGACAGTGACTATGATCATCTAGATCTCATTTAAAATATTTCTTCATCCTGTTGTCTCACATCGTGCTCATTGGAACTCTTGTAATCGAGTCGGGTATTCCAACCCGGACCCGCTTGAGTACCACGTGACTGGAGAGAAGTAATACTCGTGTGACGTCACTGGGCATTGTGCTATTTTGGCGGTGCGTTGTGCTAATGATAGGCTACCAAATGAGGTTCGAAAGACGAAAAACATAGACATGGTCCAACATACATGAACACATCAGCATGTATACTGTGTATACAAAAAAAAAGTATGAGAGACACTGAAAACAATCACCATACTGGTAAAAGTCTTGGTGTTAAGCTTTTGAAATGCTGAGTTAGACAGACGTTTTGATAAGTGAATGTTTGCAGGGTCCCTAGTTACGTAGCCGGCATAGAAACCGGAAATAGACATGAGTGACGTCATTACTGTGTATGTGTGTTCAAAGAGCTCGGGGAATGTCATTTCATAGTTATATGTACATCTAGGACAAGTCGTGTAATCGTTACCTCTTGCGGTTTAGCAAGGTATCGGTGTAGCATGCTAGTAGATGAATCACCGAGTCCAGCAATTGAGTCTGTTTTGTCAGTCAGTGTAATTCTAGAAATGACTCATCGAATTTTATGCCAGGGATTTTAGTTTTAGAACTATGTTGAAATACGTTCTTGCCATATATATATTAGATATCGGTACAGAATATTTCATATGTAAATAAATAAATACGTGATATTTAATTTGTGAAAACAGTGTTGTTCGTAGGATCATTGTATTATCTTGTTCATACCTTGTCAAAAATGGTGACGCTGCTGATTTGATTGACGTCATATGACGATCAAGAAAAACTCATGTCCCAACCCATTCATACACGTATACCTGCTAACACGAGTATACACTCATATCATGATTATACATTGTAATATATTTCAGTAACATGTACACATTATAATAGTTTCAAGAGTTTGATCAACTTATATGTCATCTGAATCTGCAGCGCCACCTATGTATCAACGTTCTGTCTTCTCGTTGTCTTTGAGATTGCTTATTTCAAATACAATCTTGTGCTAAACATAGGTTTTCCTTTCTCTCTGTATTTCTCTGAGCGTTTGCAAAGTTATGGTACATTATATATATATATATATATATATGTATATATCAAAGTGTGTGAGAATACATGGCGTAAATGTATATGGATGTTTGTGAAAGATGTGAATGTATTTTCATTTAAAAAGAAAAATAGTATTCTGTTGATTCCGTGTTTGAAATTAGCTGATCCCTTCATACTAATATTCTTGGAAACTCTTGCTGGGAGTTATGTTCAAATAAAATCGATTCATTGTTTAATTTATATTTTCTTTGTTACATACCACTTTCATTAATGAAACAATTTGTAAATTATTTTGCATTTAAATACGATGCATTTTGTATTAATTTACATCTACGTATCAAAGTTTGATACAGACATATTGCGTTTGTAAACAGAAAGAAATTGACAACTTTATTCTCTATTTTCCCAATGGACTACTTTCACGAATACCATTTATTAATAGAACTAAAAGTATCTTAAATGGGTTTGGATATTTTAGTTTTATTTTTAATCTTAAACAAACTTTAACAATAGGTGTTGTCACCCATTTTGCTTGATATGATATGAATCAATGTTTAATCAGTTTATTTTACACATATCAGTTGAATTAGTTTAAATTTAAATGTATGAACTGATTGAAATTAAAATACTTGGTATGTAGAAAAGAAACGGTACTGTTAAATTGAGCGCGACAGATATTTAATTCTGTATACAGATCTGTTTGTATAGTAGAATTTAGCTGTATTTATTTTAGCTTAATTTTCAAGCCAAAACAATACACAGACAAGTGTATAAGTTACGAGATAGCATTGCGTCAGATTTATGCCTTTACATTTCAATATCAAATTTACAAAATAAATTCAGGACATAGATGACATTAGTTGATTAAATATACAATTTAACACATATCAAGTGCTGTAGCTGTAGAGTGATTATAGTTCCTCTTTGAAATATACTATCAGCGATAAATATTCAAACATATGAAATTTGAACAAAATATAACAATTCAATTTCGATGGATTTATTTAAGCATTTACTATCAATAAAAGACATTGTATAATATTAATTTCAATATGTGAAGGCTACGATAATAATACAATAATAAATCTTTGTTATCACAGCTAGATTGACCTTTAATCTACCCTTTCTTTACCTTTGACCTCTTTGTTTTAAATATCTGCACGTGTATGCTAATTGATCTCTCTAATTTCTATAGATGTCAAAAATTTCCAGCCATTGAAATATGTCCCGAAAGGGAACGCCCTTTTATAGCAAAACGGGCCTTTCTCTCTTTCCGTTCTGCTGTAAAAGGGAGTTTCCTGTACAAAGTTTCATGGAATAAAATATGTTAAAATAATAATTCGTGTCTTATTGTTTTTTCACGTCGTCAGTCAGTGATCGAGCGATTATGATCACATTATGTCAATATTTGTTTCCACTCTTTAGTACTGGAGGCGGAAATGCATTGGATTATATCATAGCAGAGCATTATGGGATGACCGATACTTTAACTAAGCTATAACGTATACATACAGAATGGCAGTCTGTAATACAATATTGTCAGCTTCACGTATCAGGTACAAAAAAAAACGGCAAATAAAATGTAAAATATCAATGTATTAAATGTATAAAGACACCAGTTTATAATGACGTCAGGATAGAAGATGACGTCGCAAAGTATAGTTACTTAACGTCACAATTAGAGGATTGACCAACTAAATATCTAATTGGTAATCAAAATGTTTACCCTAATCAAGTTTATCCAATGAGTCGGATATGAAGAAACCTACAGAGATTTTGTGAGAAAATGCTTTTAGTGATCTTCACAAGTTACTGGTCTAGATATACGTCTTATACACTATACGACCATTTTCAAATAACAAGCCAGACAAATCCTTTTTGTGTTTCGTTAAAAACACATATACTAACAGCATCGCATAAATGTCCTTGAACACATTTATTTTATTTTCCTGTTGGTTTTGTTCGATATTGTTTACACTTGACGGTAACATTCTCCGTGCTATCTGATTTCTTGATGATGTCGCCGAAAGCTTTATTACAAAAAGTTGATATCTTCAGCGGATTGTTGAGCGGAACTGTACACATTTCTGGTTGTTGTTAAATGATTTTGAGTTATTTGCGTGCAATTGTTGAGAAGTCAATTGAACTTTGAATGTCTCGGACAGGAAATAGTCTCTTGTGGCTTAGTATCAATGAAGATTTAGTAGAAATGTGAACATAACACCACAGTATTGCATGGCTTTGATATTTGACAATGTTACTTCTTTGTGTTATACTCTTTATCATGATGACGTAACCTTCAACATCCTGAATGTCTGTGTTGAGAAAGTGTTTCAAAACTTTATCTTCGACCCAGATCCATGTCGTTCTGTCATATTTGAATTTACACAATCATACATCCTTTTTAATTATCAATTTAAACATTGAAATGCGAAATGCATCATCAGCATTCATAATATTGATCACATACATATACACTTAATAATCTCGTCACAATTGACACGTTATTACTGTAAAAGCATAATATTTCGTTGGGGATTTGCGAAATATAATCCCAACGAAATTTTAAACACACGAAATATCAACTAAACGAAAATATTAAATAAACTATTGATTTTATTTTAAATTCATAGTGTATTTACATTAAGACACAGGTCATTTCATACGGTGTAATTATCGTCACAGGCACAGAGATTAACACTTATATCAACAGCATGTCAAACTTAATTGCTACACACAGGTAACGTCAACACATGTCAATATTTACATACCGCGGTTGTTCAGTAGTTAATAAGTATTCATAATGATGTGTGTAACATTTCACTTATTGTGATATACAAGTTATAACCCGAACAGACAGTTTAAAAGTGTGTGTTGATTAAACCGAGTTTAATGCTAAATATCACATGAAGTTTGCAAAAGTTACGGGTATGCCCTCACTTTAAAAAACTGTCTGAACATGTGTTTATGTAGGGTCACGATCAAATCATTTTCATCTATAACGAATATGAAACAATCCGTTTAAAACATTCCTTCACATACCAAAAAGAACTTTACTGATCCGTGTCCGCTCCTGAAGTTTGAAGTTATTTTACATGACAAACTGTCTACTTATTAAAACACGTAACCGAAGTAACAGAAGCTGCAAACGGATGCACTGTTGACATATTTGTTTGGGTTGATTCACCCTTTCACCACTGTAGACCATAATAGATTCATCCAGATCAATGCATGGTAGAGTTTACTAAAGTTACATAGGGGTGAAAGGGTTAAAACATAGCTGCACCACTTAATGATATTCAATTTAAATTGATTGTTTAATCTACTAACACGTTTACACGTCCAAAAACAAAATGCCACGCCTTAGTTGTGGGCGAATTATGGATTGACCTGGTGGTAGGCTGTTGACCGCTGAGTAGTGTTATATAAGTGGCATGTAAATGTTGTTTATGAGCCTTCACGGATATTGTGGTCTGCCGTATTTACATTTAAGAAATACATGTGACTCCTGTGTACATTTTGTACTGTTAACAAAACAACATTATCTGGTGTGTGACAAACTAATATATTACAAGGGAGTGTAGAAAACCAAAGTCTGGTGTCCGTGTCTGCTACAAGATGGCGAAATTTGAAATGTTAAAAGATGTCCAAAAAGAAGATGTCCGTATTTTTTAAGATATTTCTAAATTTTAAAATGGATTTATTAACCCTAATTTTGGTCTAAGAAATACAACATAAGCTTTCCAGTTTAAAAGAAAACAACATATCCTTAGCTGAAAAATAACAAAGAAAATGACTCTTTAGCATCTCGAAAAATGGTCTACCATGTAACGTCGTTTTTCAATGGTCAACTACCATTGATCATTGGACAGCAGGTAAGTTGCAGGCCAATGTCACGATCATAGCCTTCCTGGCGAAGCAGAGCTTGTTCAATTAAATCAACAACTTAATCGAAAGAACGATTACCTAGGTCACACCGCCGTTTTGTCGGACAATATGGACATATATTCAATGTATGTTTGTATATTGCGGTGCAACACACACTTTTCCGTCTTTGCGTATTACAGATTTTTATCTTCTCTTGTGAGCAGGTATTGATTGTTACGTCATTGGTTTGTGTGAGAAAATTACGTCGTTTTCTCAAAAATTGATGACGTACACTCACAAACAAATGACGTAACAATCAATACCTGCTCACAAGAAAAGTAAACTCTGCAATACGCAAAGATGGACTAAAATATTGGCCCAAAACTATTCAGCAAAGGCTGACCTGATCATACGCCACATGTTAATTATATTATACGAAAAACTATTGGATTCCTCGTTTTGGACTTTCTTTTCTAAACACATCTTCTGTTTCGCCTTCCTCTCGTAGCTAGAATACACCTCCACCGGTTTCCTTAAATGACCGTACTCTGCAAATGTACAATCACCTCTGCCTTTCCTTCAGCAGATATGGGGAACGTAGGTAAGTCAATGAGTGTCCCGTACTTGTAGCCTCGTCACATCCTATCTTGTGTATATTCCAGATTGCAACTATGGCCAACTCTCTTAGACATTATATCACAATTGCTTTAAGTGTCAACACCCTTTTATCAATGAAAGGATTTTCACTGTAGAGACCGTAAATATTATTTGTTTTTTTTAACATATTTACAGTATCAATTCATCAAATATAGCTACAGAGATAAATACATGTTTATTGTATGGGTCACACATATTCACATATCCAAATAATGCATGCTTTCATTTGTATTATGCTCTTGTAGGACCGCTATCTAATTTCCATGTTCGACATTTTTGTGACACAAACTAGATGTATAAACAAACAAGCAAAAAGAATGAAGGAGGTATCCCCTTTAAAGAACTGAATTGGTGATCATTTGAGCTGAAGAGTACACCCACAAATTGTCGAGCTGTTGTTAGTGACTTCTCGTAAATTTGTCATACACTAAGGGCAAGCACATGCGCATATGAAATATTTAAAATGACATTAAATTCCCTCGGTAAGTAATGTATCTAAAACATCTACCTTGTACACAAACTGAAATGTCCTTGACATCAACCACTTCAACTGCACATTATGCATGTCGTAAGGAAGAAAAAAGGGACACATGATTTACAAGTGTATTAAGTGAGTAAAGCTAAAAGATGAAGTGTTAAATTAAATGTATAGGTGTCACAAAGAGGACACAAAAATTATCTCGTAAACATTTAGAGCATGACGAATTTATTCATCGAGAAGTAAACATGCAGGATAGGGTCACTGGATTTTTCAAAAAGAGGTGTTGCATACTTTTTTTTATTGTATATTGGTATCTGTTAGGAGAGAAAACTATTCCATCTTTGCGTATTGCAGGGTTATCTTCTCTTGGGAGCAGGTATTGATTGTTACGTCATTGGTTTGTGTGAGAAAATTACGTCGTTTTCTCAAAAATTTATGACGTTACTCTCACAAACAAGTGACGTAACAATCAATACCTGCTCCATAGAGAAGATAACTCTGCAATACGCAAGGACGGAATAAGATCAGCTACATCACTGTGCGTATAACAACACCCCATAGTTAAGGAAATCAGGGGGATAATTCAAACAATGTTTATTTCATTCATTTGATTTTACAATGGTCGTTCAAGATTTCAACACTTTCATATTTTTCGTTAATTAATGCACGTACAGTACCGTACCTTGTTTTTCCTGCTACATAACTGTGTCAGTTTGGCAGGAGACTTTTTCAATACGTTAAGGCTTATCTGGTCGAAGGTTGAATTAACTCTTCTTGGCAGTGCATTGTCTCACAGCTGTTTTAGACAGAATATTGTCTAACAAAATGTTTGACAGTAACTCCGGATCCTATTGCAATCTGTTAAGAGAAGGTCCTCCAGAAGTCTGTTCGACGGAAGATTTTCTGTCGTTGTTGTTGTTGTTGTCGTCTTACTTCCGTCTCACAGCCTATTTGACAAAGGAGTGTCTCATAGTTTATGTATCTTTTGCACACCTAAAATTTCATAATGAACTACTCCAACCTTTGAATTGGAAGAGTTTAGATGTGTCTTTGGGGGTGAATGAGTTAACGGAAGGTCACCCTTCATTCTGCTGTATACCGGTAAGCTTTTACCAAAATGTATTCACTCTTCCTGGCTTAAATCCATTTTCAACCCACCCCCCCACACACACACCTAGTTGCAGCCGTCATTACTGCATGTAGTAATGATATGCTGTGTACTTAGTACAGTCACATTCGCTGTCACAATAAGTTCACTCTTTACGGAAGGTTGAAACGGTGAAGTAAAAGTGCGGCGTAAGGTTTTCCTGTAAACGATATACG